TCTTTTATTTTTTGCCATCAGGCACACTGAATTGTTTATTCCCTGCTTTGGGGCCATGCTAGGAAATATTCCAAACATGTTAACACACAAGATAGTTCTCTTGAAAAATGATAAAAGAGATGGAAGGCCCTTTACCTTTTCCCCTTATTGTACATGTCAGCTAATGTAGGTTAGCTAGTCCAGTGCCAGAGACTATCTCACACCTAGAACGCAGTTGGATGGAGCTTTTTTTTTTTTAAGAAAGTGGCTATTTAAAAATACCTGTAACATCAGAGTTAAGTCCCAGATTATCCTGTGAAGGGGAGTAGAGAATGAAAATTGCTATTGCTTTTGCAAAGAATGCACTCACCCCTATCATTTACAATGTGTTTGGCTTGCATGTGCTACTTCCGTGGTTGGCCACTTCAGTTTCTAGGAACCAAGAATATATGTAACTTTCTCTGATCTGACTGCTATTTTCTCCTGACTACTAGGGGTTTTCTCCTGCCTAAATACCTTAAAATACATCCTTAAAATACATTTCTTTCCTGACTCCATTATTGACCCAAATTCACTGTCAGAGCCCATGTAAAAGTGTAGAAATCTCTTTAAACTGGAAATCAGAAAACCTAGGTTCTAATTTTTACTCCGTTGCCAAAATCTATGGGTTCCTCCTTGGGGAAAAAAGGATTAAATTGATGTCCAAGAGATCCCATTCAATTCTGAAATTTTTTTACTTCACTAACTAGTTAATAGAATTTACTGCTGAAAGTGGGTGGGTCACACAGTGGATGCCAAAATTTGGGGCAAGGAAGGGTAGATGTTTGTTATTTAGGCTTACCCAAGCTGCTATGAACTTCTAGCAGCATGGCTAATTATGAGCTCCAAACATATCATTCACATCTCATTTGTCATCCACTTCATGAGGTTTTAGATGGATGTTGATGGGCCAAAAACTGTTCCGTGCTTACCTGGGAATTTGCAGTCTTATCATGTTCTGAGCCATTTTCCATTACTGCTTGTGCATGAGAAGTATTTCAAACAATAAGCCAAAAAGCACTTCTAAAACTATGTTCAAATTCTAGCAAGATTTAAGATGGAGCAAATGCTCTGCTTCCCATTTGGATTCGTGAAGCAGTGAACACACTTCATGAAGAACACATTTATATTTTCTTGCACATAAATATGTTTGTCATAATACCAGAACCATTGAGACAAATTGCTATGTTCAGCTGGGAAATGTATCTTTTCTCTCTGTATTATAAAGGATGTGTTATGGTACAATTATTCTTGTGGTTTTATAGTTCAGGGCACTTTTATAGTATAGGAAGCTTCTGTCTACGGAAATAGCATATGCTATTTAATTACTATAAAGCTCTTTGCAAATATAAAGGACTACTAATACCCATTAGCAAATAAATTCTCCAAATGCATTCTGCTTTTGTTATTGCATGATTTCCTTAACAGAGAAATACAGAATGGTTGTGACATCCTATTTCAAGGAAAAGAATGATTGCCTGTAGAAAAGTAAATCTTACAGATTTCTACTCCTGACTAGTAGGTACCCATAATATAAACATTTCCTCTAAGTTTATAGGTTCTTTGAAAGGTCAATAGGCCTTTAATATCAGTACCATTCCACACAACCAGTACTAGAAGCTGCAGTGAAAACTGATTATGAGCAATAGAGAGCTTTTCGAGAAGATATTTAATTACGTATTTATAACCTCAAGGGTGCTTAAATCGAGGGCTCCTTTAAAATTATTCATCCAGTTTTGGGGCGCCCGGGTGGCTTAGTCGGTTAAGCGTCCGACTTTCGCTTGGGTCATGATCCCGCGGTTCGTGGGTTCGAGCCCCGCGTCGGGCTCTGTGCTGACTGCCAGCTCGGAGCCTGGAGCCTGTTTCAGAGTCTGTGACTCCCTCTCTCTCTGACCCTCCCCTGCTCAAGCTGTCTCTCTCTCCTAGAAATAAATAAAACATTACAAGAAAATTATTCATCCAGTTTTGTCTTGGTATTGAGAGCTGAATTAGTCAGGACTCTGAGGTTTAAATAACAGAACCCCAACTCAAACTAGATTAAGCAAAATCAAAACAAAACCCACAATCTCTACACCTACAAGGAATCCTGGGTAGCTCAATTTTAAATCAGCACTGTAGGAACCAGGGATATCATGGTTTCAGAAATCTGTCATTTTCTCCGCTCAGGTAGCTCCAGAATTGGGGGAGGGGTGGAGGGGCGAGGGTGAGATGGCTCAGGCTTCCAGTCATTCTCCCAGGTTGAATGGTAACAGCAGAAAGAGGACTTTATTCTCTCAAGGTCTCTATAGCAAAAAGGATCCTGACGTGTCTTGTTTATTAGTTCATTTGCCCACTCCTTGGACCCATTCCTGCTACTGTGGTATGTATACTGTGACTGATCCCATCTCCATCATCCTTATGAACAAGGAGTAAAGAGCCAGAATTAAGAACCCCAATTGGACCGCAGGCAGTAGTGGGGTTCCCCTAGTAAAAAGGGATATTACTATCTAAAATGGGATAGGAAAATGGACTGGACTTAAAACCAAACCTTACTTTGGTGACCTTGGTCCTTTCAATCTTGAGATGGAAGTTTCTGATAATCTATTAATGAGTGATCTTCAGGCCTGTGGTGTTGGTTTTGACAACCCTGAGCTTGGTGCTCCCTGGCCTCTCAGCTGTCTTGGCTTTAGTTATCTGCCCCCCTTCAATTCTTTCCTCTTAAGCTTTTGAAACTAAATACATGCTTTCTTTCTGAATTTATCTTGGGAACCAACAAGATGGCATGGTAAGAGAACAGGATGAAGCCAAAAGCCCAGTCCTTCCTTGCTCCAGCATTTACTAGCTTTCTGACCTGTGGGAGGTTACTTCGGCAGGTTCTCAGAGCTGTTTTATCATCTGTAATAGGAATGTCCGTTCGAAGGTTGCCGTGAGGAAAGAGGAATGTGTATAAAGCACAGTGGCTGCTCATATGGTCAATTATTACCGAAGGTGAGGTGCCACGACCTTTAGGCAAACATGAAGAATCACGTCTAATGCTTCAAGTACTAGACCAAGAGCTGGATGATGAAAGGGCAAAACATGGCCGCTGCCCTCACTGGACTTGCACTTTGGGAAAGCAGAAAATAAAAGAGGAAACATGAAAAAAACTGCTAAGCCTGCAAAGAAATTACCATGTGCTAGGAACTGCACCCAGACACTCTTCAATCTAGGGTTGCTTTAAGTACCAGTTACTGTGGCAGAAAAACAGAACTGCCCAGTCTTTTGTAATATATTTAAAAGAGGACATTTAGGGCATCCTGGCAAAAATGGACATCTTATATATGCAGGATGCTTGGCAACCCTATCTCTAGCCTGGACAGCCATCCTACAATCCTATTTGTATAATTATATAAATATGACATATATTTACATAAATACTAAATCCTATGATCTCCACTGTACAAGTGAGTTAACAGACTCAGAGACACTGGGTGACTTGTTCAAGGACACAGAAATGGCAGAACAGGGAACCAAGCCCTAATCTCTCTGGCTTTTAAAGCCTGGAGTCTTTACATTACACCATTCACTTTTCTCCACAATGACAATGGAGGGTTTAGGGTCAAAACCAGTACGATCTCTAAATGTATGCCTGACTCTAAGTCAATTTCTCCTTCTAAACCTCCTGTACTTCCTTTACAAACCCAGTATGTTGACCGAATAGCTGAGTTGCTTCTGTTCAGTTCTCTAGAATTCTGAGATTCTAGTTGATTACTCATTAGTTGATTCTCAAAGTGTGGTCCCAGATCCATCAACATCACCTGGGAACTTGTAAAGCATATTCATTGCCACACAGGACATACTGAAACCTGGGAATAGAACATATCTGTTTTAAAAAGCTGTCCAAGAGATCCTAATGCAAACAGGAAAACCAGACCTTTAGTATTCTAAAGAAACACTAGTATAGTGATACCTTTTTTTCTCCTCAACAACTAAGTGCATGACTTGTAATACTTTCTTCTGAAGCTTTTAAGGTATCTTAGAAACTTGAAATTTAGAGGCGCCTGGGTGGCTCAGTTGGTGGAGCATCCAACTTCAGCTCAGGTCATGATCTCATGGTTGGTAGGTTCAAGCCCCACGTCGGGCTCTGTGCTGACAGCTAGCTCAAGTGCCCGGAGCGTGTTTTGGATTCTGTGTCTTGCTCTGACCCTCCCCTGCTTATGCTCTCTCTCTCTCTCTCTCTCAGAAATAAAGAAAACATTTAAAAATTTTTTTTAAAAAAAGAAACTTGAAATTTATACCAAGGCATGGGACTGAAAATATCTACTTTTGCTTCCAAATATTTCATTAAATGTCACCACATGGACTAAGAGTTCAACGTTTGCCCAATACCATTACTATCCCACCTTTGCCTTCTCTTAGATGCTATTATGTCGGAAATAGCTCTCCCTCTTCAAGATCTTTTATTTTTTATCCTTCCATCCTTCCTTCTCTTTTAGTTGTTCAATACTCTATCCATTTTGCCCCAAACTTTTAAACAATGCCCACTCTTCAGTCCAAGCACGTTCCTAATGGTCTGTCCTGTCCACATGCAAAATGACTCCATGGTCCTTATGGAACCTGACTAATTTGAATATGTCAATTATTTTAGAGATGGGACTGAAGTTGACCCTACTATGAAGTACAGTTTGCTAATGCTTTTAAGTTAAAAACGATTTTGCTAATTAAAAATTATTTAAGCCTGTTAAGCCAAGTCCCCAAAAGACCTCTTATTGGGCCGTTTTTATTAACTCAACTCTAAAATACTATATTTTAAGGGGCACCTGGGTGGCTCAGTCAGTTAAGCGTCTGACTTCAGCTCAGGTCATGATCTAATGTTTCGTGGGTTCTAGTCCCGCATCAGGCTCTGTACTGACATCTCAGAGCCTACTTCTGATTCTGTGTCTCCCTCTCTCTGCTCCTCCTCTGTTCACTCTCTTTCTCTATGTCTCAAAAATAAATACATGTTAAAAAAAATTAAAATACTATCATTTTTTAAAAAACATTTAATTTATATGCCATGTCTCCATGTAAATTAAGATTTTATTGTACATTGTGTATTAACCTCTGCATCATTACTGCTTATATATTTAAACTTAAAAAAAAATTTTTTTTAACCCTTCTGTAAAGACTCGGGACAATGCTAACATAGGACAATTGTCCCAGTGCTATGCTCAAGTATATGGAAGTCTTATATTGGTGACAAGATATATAGCTATCTCCCATCTGTCATAATATAGACTGAAACAGAAATAGAACAAATTAAAGATACCAACATGATGCCATGAAGTTTTAAGACAACGAAAACTAAGTATCATTAAACTCATCACTAACTGATAGTAACAGGCTGCATCAGAATCAGAACCAGCCTGAGGAACTTCAGAGCAAAGTTTCCTGAGATACATTTCCCAGTTTTCAACTTCAGAACTGCTCAGGATAGGACCAGAATTAGTCTCAGGTGTTTCTAGTGAACTGACCCAGAGACATGTTCCATTTTAAAATTAATTTGAAGCAACAAAGCACAAGCCAGTTTAAAATATGTGAGATGAGGGAGGACCCAATTCAGTAGCTTTCATCCAGCCACTGAAGCTGACACTTTACACACTACACAAAAGTAGGACACTCATTACAGCAATTGATCACACACACTGTTCTACGCTCTCATTTCCCTGGCCCACAAAATAAGTTCTAAATTGATGACTTATTCACTTCAAACAATTAGATTCCAAGCATCAATCACAGTGAGGTTGGATGCTGGTTCTATGAAATACACTTATCCCCAACCATTTGTAACCTTCATGTATCTATACATTACTGAGACAGAAGCACCAAGAAATATTTACTCATAAGATGCACTGAGTTTCTATTCTACATGGCAAGGAGAAGAGGTTGTGAACTACTATAGAGTTGCAATCCACAATTTGAAAAACTGATCCAGTTGAACACTTCACTTTATAGATAAGAAAACTCAAGCCTGTGGGTATGTCTTTTCACGATCTGAATTAAATCTTTTGTGTGACCTTTCATTTACCAAATTCCCAGGTGAAATCTTAACTCTTTACAATGTGGCCACAAATGACTGCCATCCCTAGATTCTGCACTCTTACTGCAGGCTGGCTTCCAACAAAGGACTAGAGTGAAGTGACCAAACCTCTCATCTTACAAATCCAACTGTCAAAGAAAGTAACCCATACTTTCTCCTACAGAGTACAAAAATTCCAAGACAATATGGATTAGGTAGATCACTCTTTACATATGCAACCAGTAATACAGGAATGCCAATTCCAGCCATAGGTAACCAGGAAGAATAGAGGGTATATGGTTAGACAACAGACAGATGTACACTAAAAATGATCAATCTTTTCGCAGATATTCCTCTTGGCTACAACAAAAAATTTAAATTATGCTCCTTATATAGGAGAATCACAATGAGCAGTATTTAACAATTCTTAAAGTTAGTGATTCTAGCTAAATACTTGTATATCAGAATTTCTAAGGCTAATAAGCAAAACTATGTCAAAATTTGCAAATAGACTTTAAGCCAGACTTGAAAGCCAAGATGAGCAGCTCCTTTGTCTAGTTATTACCTCTGATCAAGGCATAAGAATTCACTTAGACAAACAGCTTTCATAACCTACCTAAAAATAGACTAGTTCATAAATTTTCTAAACTGCTCTTCCCTGATGTGAGCAGCCCTTGATCTTTGACTGTAAAACTTAGCAAACTTTGGCATGCTCTAATGTTAGTTTTATAGGTTACTGAAAACCTCTGTAAATTTAGCATCGTTTCTCAAATCTCGATAGTTTTCTCATTCTGAATGCTTGAACATTTAGGTCACAAACTGAAATACCAGCAGAAAAATACTCATGTTTTGGCCTGTTGTACAGTTACCAGTTGGCAAGAAACTGACAAAATTTAAACAGAGCATAAAAGCATTTCAAACTTTATGAACTATGAATTTAGCACACTTTCCTAAATTTTGGTGGTTCCAACTACAGGAAAACCAGACTCTAAAAGGTCTGAGATGGTTTAAGCTAACTCAAAATTTTTCCAATTCCTGACATCAGTACTAGATTTATACTTTTATTATGGTAACAAATAGTTGTTACAGTGAGATCTATAAACATATACAGAATTATTATATTTAAATTCATATAGAACAATATTTACAATTTTAAGTTACAGTTTTGAAATCAGAAGACGAAGTACAGCTTAAGTTTACAACAAAGAAAGAGAAAAACACATAACAAAAATAGACAGAGGTAACAGTAAAAATATAACTATCTGTTTTTGATACGTAGAAACACTCAGAAAAGCTACATCTTCTTAATCTGATTGTCCAAGTCATTAAAATACGGATGATTCAGTGCCATTTTGCCAGAAATTCGTTTGGCAGGATCATAGACCAACATTTTCTGAAAGGATGGGCGGGAAGATAAAAAGAAGAAAGGTTTTTAAGAAATGAACCATAAAAAAATCTTCAAAAAGCTCTAATTTTTCTACCAATAAGTCATAAGCTAATAATTTTAATAAAAATTACTACTGAATAAACATTTCCATTAGTTCAGTAACATATTACATAAATGTCTCATCCTCTATACTTCAGCCTCTAGCTCTTATTCTTTAAATCAAGATACCTCAATAATCTTTCGGCTATAAATTATGCTTTAAGACACAAGCATTCTTAGAGAGAAATAGTTTTAAAACCAGGACATAAATTTAAGAAAGATACCTAGTTAATTATATTTACTTTGAGAATTAAATGGCCATCTGAGTTATTTACAACATTCTTGAAATGGTGGCAATTAGCTACAGTGGTTTCTAATGTAGCTTCCATCAAGTTCCAAATAAAAACAAAACCAGAGCACAATGTGTTATAAACATAGTTAAAATGACACTAAATGAATGATGGTCAAACAATCTAGGATTAAAGTTAATTCACACATAACCAGAAAAGACTGCATAAAGTTTAGTGTCGATCTTAAATTTTATCTTTAAGAAACATTAATCTTAAAGAAAATCTAATCAATAACCAGGCCAGACATACTTTTACTAACCCTTTGAGCTGCTATCACGTATCTAGCACTATATTAAGTGCTTGACACATGATCCTCAAACAAAGGTAAGTATTTGTCCCTTTTTACAATGAGGCTCAGAGGTTAAGTAAATTGCCCCAGCAATTCCTAAAGCTAAGGAGTGGTAAAGCTTAAATGTGACACCAAATCTGATGTTTTACAGTAGTGGCTCTCATCTGAGTGAGACTCTACCCCTCAGGGAACATTTGACAATGTCTGGCATTTGGCAGTTGTCACAATGGAGAGAAACATGCTACTTGCAGGTATAGGGCAGAGGACTGGCATGCTGTTAACTATCTTAGTGTACAGGATAGATCCTGATAACAAAAACTGACCCAGTCCAAGATGTCAATACTGGCTAGACTAAGGAATCATGATTTACGGTATTTGATTTTTGTTTCATTGACTGAAGTGAAATTCTTTGTATTAAAAAATTACAGAAGCTAAAAAGATATAGAAGGTCTTCTAAGTCAAATCAACAATACTGATACATAAAATATCTGAATGACAGGTAAAGCACTTGGGACTTCACTATAAGCAATTTGGAAATCTGAGCTGAATTTAGAGGCATAATGATTTATAAATTCTGAGGAGCCCAAAGACCAATTAGAAGATTTACAGGATAGTATCACAATATCACATTAGCTGAGATTCATAAAAATTCCATCTAAAAGCTTAAGATTTAGGGGGCATCTGGGTGCTCAGTTGGTTAAGTATCTGACTTCAGGTCAGGTCATGATCTCACCGTTTATGGGTATGAGCTCCATGTAGGGCTCTGTACTACGGTTCGTGGGTTCAAGCTCTGCATCGGGCTCTGTGGAGTTGTGCAACACTGGTGCAGAGCCTGCTTGGGATACTTGCTCTCCCTTCCTTATCCCTGCCTCACCCGTGCTTTCTCTCTCAAAATAAATATACTTTTGATTTCAGCTTAGGTTATGATCTCAAGGTTTGTGAGATCAAGTCCTGGGTAGGTCTTTGCACTGACAGTGAGGAGCCTGCTTGGGATTCTCTCTCTCAGCCCCACCCCCCACACGTGCACTCTCTATCAAAATAAATAAACTTAAAAAAATAAACAAATAAAAGCTCAATATTTATTTATTTTTTTTTTAAATATTTTTATTTATTTCTAGGAGAGAGACAGCGTGAGCAGGGGAGGGTCAGAGAGAGAGGGAGACACAGATTCTGAAACAGGCTCCAGGCTCTGAGCTGGCAGTCAGCACAGAAGCCGACGCGGGGCTTGAACCCACGAACCACGAGATCATGACCTAAGCAAAGTCAGACGCTCAACCGACTAAGCCACCCAGGCACCCCAAAAGCTCAATATTTAAACAGTGTTCTAAAAACAATTTTCCTGAAGCTGGCCTAGGACGATTTCTTTTATATCCTAATAGATTTTTTTTTGGTCCTATTTTTAAAGAAAACAACTATTAGCAGAGAGTAGCAATGTAGTAAACAGGATTTTTATTTTTATAGTTTGTTAATGCTTTATTTATTTTATTCATTCATTAATTTTTTGAGAGAGAGAGAGAGAGAGAATGAGTGAGCAAGCAGGGAAAAGAGGGAGAGGGAAAGAGATAATCCCAAGCAGGCTCTATACTCAGTGCAGAGCCCTAGGAGTGTCTTGATCCCAAGGATCCTTGAGTCATGATCTGAGGTGAAATGAAGAGTCAGACATGCCTCATGGATTTACAAAGAACTACATTACTCCTCCTAGCCTTCCTGATGTAGAAACAAGGCCCAAAGTGAGAAATCAGAGTTCATGCAGTAAAAGGTTTTAATAACTAAAAATATCAAGCAATAAGGAAAAACCTATGTCTAGGATAAACTAAAAATAGTAAACATCTGGGGCGCCTGGGTGGCTCAGTCGGTTAAGCTTCCGACTTCGGCTCAGGTCATGATCTCACGGTTCATGGGATTGAGCCCTGCGTCGGGCTCTGTGCTGACAGCCAGCTCAGAGCCTGGAGCCTGCTTCAGATTCTGTGTCTCCCTCTCTCTCTGACCCTCCCCTGCTCATGCGCGCGCTCTCTCTCTCTCTCTCAGAAATAAATAAAACATCAAAAATTTTAAAAAAAATAATAAAAATAAAAAACAGTAAACATCCAGGACAAAAAGGTAGAAAGGAAGGCCATTACACATCAGCAACTTAAACAATAAAGGTATACTAACCCTGGCCTTGCTTTCAGAGCATCTACAGCTACCTAGGATTAAAAAACCAAACAAATAACATCTAATGCTGAATCCTTCTCTCAAAATCACTAACGTTTCTTGGTAACTAAAATGAAGCTAGTAATATAACAAACATTAACAGTCATAACAGCTATGTGCCTGGCTCAATATACATTGGCTTTCTTTCTATTTTCCAGGTAAAAGAAAGGAACTGAATACATTCAGAATCAATAATGTTGAAATCAGTATAAAGGGTCTTCTTACCGACAGCAGATCCAAGCCATTTTCATCCAAGTTTTTGACATGGGATGCCAGACTTCCTGGTTTCCACTTGGGAAATGTATTCTTATAGTCCTGTAAAGATTCCACTTCTGGCCACACTTCATTATTGGGGGTGCCCAAAGCTCTAAAAAACCACAGCAAAACAAAAAAATTATTAAAGCATACATATAATCTTATTGTTACATACATGTTGCCTTTATTATTTCATTTGAAAATTCTTAAAAGCTTAAATATATGGCAAAAATACCTGAAAATTCTGAAGAGTTGATCAATTTCTGAATCCCCATGGAAAAGTGGTTTCTTAGTTGCTAATTCTGCAAATATGGTGCCTATACTCCAAATGTCAACTGGAGTTGAGTAGCGAGCTGACCCCAGCAGTACTTCTGGAGATCTATACCAGAGTGTCACTACCTGTAACAAAGGAAATTTTTACAATGAATAAAGGCAGTGCATTAAATATCTAAATATAAACATTTATATTTCAGGACTGTCCTTTAGAAAGTTCCATTAATTACTCTGATAATATCGTTTGTCAATTAACTATACACAATATACTAAATAGAAGATACGTATTTCATTTCTATTCATTAGGTTTAAAAACACTATAAAAATATACCAGCTCTTTTCTTGCTTTTTAAATCATTAGAGGAAAAGGTTTTAAAAAAAAAAAAAAATCAAGATAGCATTCACTTTTCAAAACAAAAAAGCCACTTGATAATGAATCAAGGTGGCACTGTACAAATGCATGTATACTGCTTATGTGCTAAAAATAAAAACATAAGTCAGGGACTCCTGGGTGGCTCAGTCAGTTAAGCGTCCAACTCTTGATTTCAGCTCAGGTCAGGATCTCAAGCCCTATAAGGAGCTTCTCTGCCCCTCTTCCAGTAGCACTTGCTCGTGCTCTGTCAAAATGAACTTTAAAAGATAAAAACATAAGTCAAATAATAGTGGTCTAGGGCTAATCTATTATTTTACTCTCTATAATTTGTCACGATGGTAAAAATATCATCTCTAACTTAAGCATCTGTTTAAGTCAATGAAAACCAAAAAATCTTTATACAGCCACAGGAAAAATGATAAAAAGTCAAGACATCTAACCAAATGACCACTGTTCTAAGTTTTGATTTGGAGAGAAGTCTTTGAGCTCAGGGATAGACAACCCCACAGAAGACAGCTTTCCAGAAGCTCTTTACTATACAATTCAATATTCCCTTTCTCTCCAGAAGTAACAAATTTAGTGCCACGTAATCTGTATTAACACTGACAAAACCTGATTAAATCTAGTAGCTTCTAAATGTCTCTGAAACAGTAACCCTTAGGTTACAAAACAAAACAAAAACAAAAAATCCCTCTTCCAACCAATTTGATTGTGTACTAGAGGATCCAATCAGGAGACAAAAACCACACAGGATTTGCATAGGTAAATTTTACTAAGGATACCTAACTGAGAGGGTTAGAATAAAGAGACTAACAAGAAATAATAATTCTTTTTTTTTTTTTAATTTTTAATGTTTTATTTATTTCTAGGAGAGAGACAGACAGCGTGAGCAGGGGAGGGTCAGAGAGAGAAGGAGTCACAGACTCTGAAACAGGCTCCAGGCTCTGAGCTTGCAGTCAGCACAGAGGCCGACGCGGGGCCCGAACCCACGAACTGCGAGATCATGACCTAAGCGAAAGTCGGACGCTCAACCGACTAAGCCATCCAGGCGCTCCAAGAAATAATAATTCTTAGGACTGTAGCAAGAGTAACCCCTTCCTCCTGCAGTGCCTCTCCAGCACCATCCACGGAAATCACATCTGCTGACAAACAAATAGTATTTAAAGGTCTCAGTTAGATTTTTACATAGCATGCAGTGAAGGGTGCGTGTGGAGCTGAGAGGCAATAAATTAATACTGCAGAATGGAAACCTTTACTATTTCTTTCTTGACTTAATGAACAAATAAAGTAAACAATCCAGCAATCACACATACTCGAAAGCACAAAAACCACTATTCTACATACCTCATGTGTATATACTCTAATAGGTATTCCAAAGGCTCTGGCGAGGCCAAAATCAGCCAATTTAATTGTTCCTTTGTCATCAATCAATAGATTTTGAGGTTTCAAGTCTCTGTGCAGAACTCTTCTGGAGTGGCAAAACACAATCCCTTGTAGGATTTGGTACAAGTAACTCTGGAAGAAGAAAATAGAAGTTAGAAACTTAACTGTACCACATAATGATTTTCTAAATAATCTTGGTGGGTTTCTTTCAAAGATATAAGAAAAGTATAATGCAGGTAAACAACTACCACAAAAGGTTTCAGGCCACTTGAGACTAGCAAGCAGCCATTTGAGGGTGGGAAGCCCATTGATATGCAAAGATATTCAGAACTTAGTCTTCTACTATTTTTCATCACTCATTCTTAAGTCCTAATTAGCTTTCTGTACAGAAAGTTTTTAAAACTTTTATCTATATACTTATAACAACTCTATTTTTATTTTGAATAAGGTTTGTCCATCTCTATTTCTTATCATTACATATTCCTTTCCTTTTTGGAAACACTGGTCACAGATTTCAAAAGAAATAACAAACATATAATGATTATATATTTAAATATAAACAACTGTAACATGCTATTTATTAGTTCAGAGAAAAGTATTATACAAGTGTTACCAAGACAATGCAATTGTCATTTGAAGCAACATAAATATTACAGAAATTAAAGTATACATAGTAACAGTATTGAATTTTTATAAAGTTCAAAATTATAAAATAATACATAAAATCAACTGTTGGAACAAATGGCTAACCATATGGGAAAAAAAAATTAAGAGCACTAGTTCTTTATACCAAAATAAAACTTTGATCCATCCACACAATTTAAAAACAAAAGGGGGGGAGGGTATGGCAACCTACTAAAAAATACTGTCAAGTATTGTTCTAACATACATGATGTTTGAGTGATGAATTAAGACATATAAGCTAACATCCAAAAGTCATGTACAAGACTTAAATATATTATAAAAATTATTGGGGCGCCTGGGTGGCTCAGTCAGTTCAGCGTCCAACTTCAGCTCACGTCATGATCTCACGGTTCGTGGTTTGAGCCCCACGTTGGGCTCTGTGCTGACAGCTAGCTCAGAGCCTGGAGCCTGCTTCAGATTCTGTGTCTCCCTCTCTCTCTGGCCCTCCCCTGCTCATGCAGTCTCTCAAAAATAAATAAAAACATTAAATAAAACATTAAAAATTTAAAAAAAATTATTAATGGTATATGCCAGAAAAACAAAAGAAAAAAGGAATAAAGGGAAGGGAATATTATCAACATGTCAGCAAAAAAGAACTGTAGAGAATAGTGAAAAAATATCCTAACAGAAACATCAATGAAGATGTTTATAAATGGCTAAAAAATGAAAAATTATTAAATGAGATAGAAAATGATAATATGCCTTTTCCACATAATGGACTGATAAAATATTTAAAAGATTAATAAAACTAGGTACCAAAACAATAACTGTTACCCACCACAATGAGTAAACTGAGTCTTTGAAGGGCAACTGGCACTATCAGGATTTTAAATGTAAATAAACACCTTCAACCCATTGATTCAAGTTATAAGAACTTATACACAAAGTTGACATACCAGTGTCTGTAAGACTATTAAAAAACTAACAGTGGCTACCTACCTCTGGGAAGTGGTAGGGTAGAGTTAGTATAAAGATAAGACATGTCCACTTTATACACTTCAGTGCTTTTAAAAAAATTATACATTTATAATTTAACTGAAACGTCTATAATAAATTAACCAAAACATTCAAAACCAGAATAAAATAAAAACACTTTGCCATCATTACCTTACCACAAGCCTTTGTTACATTGTTTCACAAATATCTGATGGTCAAATAAAAGACCAAAATAGCCTAGCTTCCAATAATGGAATAAATACCTACTGATTTTGTTACCTCAGGCACTACTTTTCACTCTACAACTAGAAGCACTATCTAGTAATTAAAGGGGTAAAAATCTAATCTAGACTGTGGAAGAAAAATCTTCCTAGTTCTACTTCCTAACACTTTTTCCAAAGATTTTCCCCCAAAACATAAAGAATAGACCTTTTACACTCACAGTGCGTAAATACTAATAAAATTAAGCTTCTTACCTTAACAAGTGAAGATTCCATGAACTGACCAGGAGGGATGGAATCTAAGTATTTCTTGAGATCCATGGAAAGGAATTCAAAGATGAGATATAACCTGGAATCTTGCATAAGCACATCTTGAAGACTGAAGAACAAAACAATTATGTAAAAAAAAAAAAGCCTACCAAATATTTTTTACCTCTCATAAAATAAAACCTCATAAATTTAACAGTGGCTATCACAGAAAGTGAAGCTCTTAAATTTTCTGTAACAACACAAAGTACATACTGTTTTGTGAAAGATGAGATGGTAGCTTCCCTAGTAATGAAAAGCTCACTAAACTAGAATTTGAGAAAAGGACTCTGAGGACAGCAACTGAAAATTAAGTAATATCATATATAAAGAAGGTACTGTCAAACCACTTCTATTACAAAAGAACATTTCTAGATTGACTATTTGTTGCTCAGAGCTTGTTTTTTTCATTGAAGTAAATTACAGAAATAAAATTTAAAATTTACTAGGAACCCTTAACAGTTGCTCACTATCTCCAGTCCCAGAAAAATGCAATTAATTAAACCCTACATTGGCCTGTTAGGAAACATTCCCCAACACCAGTCCAAATACTTAAAAAGAAAAAAAAAGACACTTCTTTTTCATCTGACCTGGCCACCTGTCTTAGCACTCTAAGAGGTCTTCAAGGACCAAAGCTCAGATTGGGATAGGTGATAACAGTAACGGTCTGTGAAAAAGGGCTTTTTTCTCCCTTGGGCGGGTTTACCTTGAATATTCAGCCCCCAGTACTAATCTCTTTATCACTCTGCTCCTGTTTTAACAGCCCATTTTTCCTAGGCCTGGCATACCCAATTAACAAAAATAGGGTTCTCTTCTGCTCAGCAATTAGACCAGATATTAAGCAAATGTAAAAATTTCCACATTGAAATTCACACTTGCGGAAAATGGTTTAAATTCAGATATACCATACCTGACTATATTTGGATGACGAAGTTCTTTTAATAGAGAAATTTCCCGAATTGCAGTACTAGGAACCCCTTCCTCTTCACTTTCTAGTCTGATTTTCTTCATGGCTACCACTTGACCTGTAGTTTTGTGTCTACCCTTATACACAACTCCATAGGTACCTGAAATAGACAAAGTAAATGTCTACTATACAATACCCTCCACAAACTAAGATTTTACAAAATGACTAACCTCATAAAAGTCACATGATAGAAATGTCTACTGTGACCAGATAGGAATTATCATACTCAATGATACTCTCTCATCACTTCCAAAAAGAAACTGAACGTAACTACAACCTATCACATCTATAGATTAGAAATAAAATTCTTGTAGTCATCACAATTTTCCCATACATGTAAAAAACAATTTCCCAGCACATTTTAGTGAAGAAAACAAATCCTCTGCAGATTGGAATTTATCTCCTTTCAAATATCCCATCTAACAATAAACCAGGCATAAAATACAGGGTGAAGATTTGGGCTGAGGAGTTAACAGGAGTCACTGTGACACTTTCAGAAAACTCTGTATAGACTGCTTTATGCATGTTCAAATATATACTCAACCCTCATCTAAAAAAGAACAGGGCTAACATATTTTATTAAATATTTATTAAATCTGGGGCACCTGGGCGGCTTAGTCAGTTTAGCATCTGACTTTGGCTCAGGTCATGATCTCAAGATTCGAGAGTTTGAGCCCAGCATCAGGCTCTCTGCTCTCAGCACAGAGCTTGCTTTGGATCCTCTGTCCCTGCCCCCTCCCCCGCTCTCTCTGCCCTTCCACTGCTCATGCTTTCTCTCTCAAAAATAAACATTAAAAAATATATATTTATAAAGTGTATTAAAGTTCACAATTTCTACTATATAGCAGGAAGGCCTCCCACTCATTCTGAAGTTAACAAGAACACTGATTCAGATATATAGTCTTTTTTTTTTACATCAGAAATCTGTTGGATTTCTTTTTATTATTTTTTTAATGTTTATTTATTTCTGAGAGCGAGAACGAGCGAGCGCATGAGCAGGGGAGGGTCAGAGAGGGAGATACAGAATCTGAAGCAGGATCCAGGCTCTGAGCGGTCAGCACAGAGCCGATGCGGGGCTCGAACCCACTACCGTGAGATCATGACCTGAGCCAAAGTCGGACGCTTAACTGACTGAGCCACCCAGATGCCCCGGGTATACAGTCTTTAGATAAGGAGCAACAGTGTCAATATAAGGGATCCTGGGTAGGGGAAGAGTGGGTACAGAAGACAGAAGGGGCAGTATTAAGGGAGGCGGATTAGTTGATTTTAAAAGGTTCACATAAAGAACACATTTAGTCCCCAGATAAAGTGCTTTTTAAAAATAGGGTGGGAGGGGTGCTTGGCTCAATCGGTGAAACATGTGACTCTTGATCTTGGGGTCATGAGGTCAAGTCCTCTGATAGGTGTGGAGCCTACTTAAAATTAAAATAAGTAGGAGCACCTGGGTGGCTCAGTTAGTTAGGCATCTGACTTCAGCTCAGGTCATGATCTCTCAGTTTGTGAGTCTGAGCCCCAAGTGGGGCTCTGTGCTGACAGATGAGAGCCTGGAGCTGGTTTCAAATTCTGTGTCTCCCTCTCTCTCTCTCTGCCCCTTGCCTGCTCACGCTCTCTCAGAAATAAACAAACAAATTTTTTTTCAAATTAAAATAAACAAATAAAATCTTAAATATAATCTTTAAACTGGGACTGGAAAATTTAGGGAGATCCTGAACCCCTGGGCTAGACATCAAATTTTGCTGAATAACTTATTATTTTTTTGTAACATCAGTATAACTTGACAAGTGATTAGAGAACATTTTCCTAAGGAGATCTATTCCATAGTTTTTACCAGTTTCTCCATAGGTAGCAATATTTTTACAAAGGCTAAGAACCACTATCAAATTATCTACTGGCCTAATTAGATTATTAGGGATGGTTTAGCCAGTGGCAAAAACTTTGTTATATAAACTTTGTTCTAATTTTGTTTTAAGATTTTATTTTTGAGTTAATTCTGACACCAAACATGGGGTCCGAACTCACAACCCTTATATAAATCCAGAGTTGCATGCTCTACCAAGTGAGCCAGCCAGGAGCCCCTAGTTTTGTTTTAAAGAGAAATTCTAGGGGTGCCCAAGTGGCTCAGTTAACCGGACTCAGGTCACGATCTCATGTTTGTTGAGTTTGAGCCCCACATCAGGTTCTGTGCTACTGGCTTAGAGCCTGGAGCCTGCTTTGGATTCTGTGTATGTATCTTTCTCTCTGCCCCTCCCCCATTCACAGTCTGTCTCTCAAAAATAAAGATTAAAAAAAAATTAAAGGAGATCCTGGGTGTCTCAGTGGGTTAAGCGCCCGGACTTTGGTTCAGGTCATGATCTCATGGTTTGTGAGTTCAAGCCCCGCTTCAGGCTCTGTGCTGTCCGTGCCTGCTTCAGATCCTGTGTTTCCCTCACTCTACTCCTCCTTCAGCTTCTGTCTCTCAAAAAGAAATAAACATTAAAAAAAAATTTTTTTTTTAATTCTATACAACAGTGGGTCTTCCTAAATACTGGTGTCGTTTTAAAGACATAATCTGTCTAAAAAGCCATGTTATATTATTTTGATTAAATTTGTATTAACCATGACTCTTGGACAACCAAAGTCATTATATTTTAAAAAAAACCCAATTTTATGGATCTTCACAACCATGTTTAAAAGTTGGTAACTTTCTGTATACTTATAACCTTTCCATCTTTTGGACATAAATTATACTTGTATCAAAAAACACAAAAGTCAGAAACACAAACATCTGACACATTGTTAAAGCAGACTCACAAAGACTCATCATTTGCATAATGTAGTACAACAAGCAGTTAATTGTAAATTCGAGATAATTTTTTCCCCTAATATTCTTTGTTTCCTTCAAGTGTACAACCTCATCGAGGCCTAAAATTTATTCATAACAACTAATTAACTTATAGCCAACACTTAGTATTTACTTAATTTTAGAAATCACAAGTGCTCTGTCTCTCTGTCTCTTTTTGAACCATTACCCCTCTTATAACTGCTGGTACAGAGCTCTAATTAAACAGACCAGAATGATTCTACTAGGTCATCATCAAAAATTATTTATAAGATGCATGGTAAGTACTCTGAAATGAATTAAACATTATTAAATTTTCAAAAATGGTAGTTACAGTCAAATTATGGAGACTCTAAATGCTAAGCAAAAAACCTTTAACACATTTGAAATGAAATGCAGGATACTGACCAGATCTTCAGAAGATACATGCAAAAGTATTAGAAGTAAGACAAATAGTTGGAGAGAGGGAGGGAGGCAAACCATGAAAGACTCTTGAATGCAGAGAACAAACTGAGAGTTGATGGGGTGGCAGAAAGGGGAAGGGGGGAGATGGGCATGGGATGAACGCTGGGTGTTATATGGAAACCAACCTGACAATAAACAATTTAAGAAAAAAAAAAAGAAAAGACGACACATCTGCAGCCACTCTGGACAACAGTAGGAAGGTTCCTCAGAAAGTTAAAAATAGAACTCTCCTACAACCCATCAATTACACTACTAGGTATTTGTCCAAAGAATACAAAACTGCTGATTTGAAGGGGCACGTGCACACCAATGTGTATAACAGCAGCACTATCAACAATAGTCAAAGTATGAAAAGAACCCAAATGTCCATCAACTGATGAATGGATAAAGAAGATGTGGTACACATATGTACAACAAAATATCACTTGGCAATGAAAATGAATGAAATCTTGCCATTTTCAACAACGTGGATGGAACTAGAGTGTATTATATTAAGTGAAAGAAGTCAAAGACAAATATGATTTCACTCATATGTAGAACTTAAGATACAAAACAGATGAACATAAGGGAAAAAGAAGGAAAAATAGGACAAAAGCAGAGAGGGAGGCAAACCTCAAGAGCCTCTCAAATACAGAGAACAAACTGAGGGTTGTTGGTGGGGTGCTAGGTGGTGGGAAGGGCTAAAAGGGTGAAGGGTATTAAGGAAGACACTTGCTGGATGAGCACAGGGTGTTATATGTAATTGATGAATCAGTAAATTCTATTCCCCAAATTATTATGACACTACGTTAACGAACTTGGATTTAAATTAAAACGAAGAAGTAGTAAAGCACTTCACTACAACTTACTTTACACTGGTCAAAAGAAAAACAATATGCTAAAACACACAGATAATAAAGTAAATGTGGCAAAACTAACATCTTGGTAAAAGGTACTACAGGTTCATTAAATTTCTTTCAACTTCTCTGTATGTGTGGAAATAAAATAAAAAATTGAGGGAAAGAAATTTAACTTTTCAAATCAGTACTTTAATGTCAGAATTTGACCACGTATCTGGCAAAAAGCAAAAGAATGTAGTGTGTGAAAGAGATCTTCTAGGCTTTAAATTATTTGTACAATTTATTTTTCAAAAACAATGTCCACCACGTAACCCAAAACTGCCAGGCACTGGAGTAGTCAAGACAATCCAAGGCAGAAAAAGAAACACAGGAAACAACACTAAGGAAAACAGATGTTATTATCAAATATTTGAGTATCTCCAATAGTGCTGGATACTACTGCCAGGCACTATTCCAACAGTTGTGAACAAGACAAAATCCCAAACCTCATAAGGCTTATTTCCAGTGTAGCAAAGAAAAAGGACATTAAGGATAACAAAAAGGAAACTACAAAATGCACTTAGACTAGAACAATGAGATGAAAGAGAAGGCAGCAGAGTGGCTTCCAGGGTGAAAGAATTGCCATTGCCAAAGGTCCAGAGGTCAAAGAACAAGGCATATGTGAAGACAACATGCAGAAGGATTGGGGAGGCTTGTAACTCTCGTAAATAGACCACCTTTGAAATTATGCTATGAACCGCTTCTATCTGTAGTAATAATTACAGTACCTTTCTCAAAAGTCAAATCTGTAGTCTCCTACGTGTTAGGAGTTCCAGAGTTTTAAAGAAAACCACATTTACACAAAAAGAATGCCTCTTTTTATTCCAAACTAAAAATCAGAACTCATTAAATTCTCTAGAGATTTAAGAAAAACTCAAAAGCAGAAACCATTAAATCCATTAATCAAACTTATTTTTAACTCAGAAACAAGACTAACTTAGTTTACCAGGTGTTAATAAAGTATCTAAGGGATTTTTTTCAAAAACCATATAACATTTGTAAGTTAAGAACAAGAATCAATCTCTAACCCAACCACCACCCAAACTTATCATTAGTATCTTACTAAATTCTTTCCAGTAACCTGCCCTTGGCTTTTTAGTAGTACTCCTTGTACAAGTACAGTTTTGGAGAACACTAAAAATATACTAGTTGGAAATGTCCCTCAAACAGAACCTACATATATAGGGGTGCCTGTGTCGATTGAGTGTCTGACTTTTGATTTCAGCTCAGGTTGTGTATTTTTTCACAGTTCCTGGAATTGAGTCATATCAGTGCAGAGCCTGCTTAGAATTCTCTCTCCCTCTTTCTTCCCCTCCCCGGCTCATGCTCTCAAAAATAAAAAAATTTGAAGAAATTAAAAACAACAAAAAAAAAACCTACATAAGTTGGACCCTATAGTACAAGTTGTACCATTTATTCCTGTAGAATTTAGAATGTTAATACCAAGACTTTTATATAGAAACAGATATTCTTCGGGTGCCTGGGCGGCTCAGTCGGTTAAGCGTCTGACTCTTGATTTCAGCTCAGGTCATGATCTCAGGGTTCATGGGTTCAAGCCCTGCATAAGGCTCTGATGCTGGGAAAGTGGAGCCTGCTTGGGATTCTCTCTCCCTTGTGCTTCTCCCTCATTTGCATATTCTCTCTCCCTCTCTCTCAAAAATAAAACTTTAAAAATTAATAAAAATAAACTTAGATATTATGTTGGGGGGAAAAAAAGGCAAAGGGTTATTTTTACCCATCACTTATGCCATATAAACATTCTTTAAAAACCTTAATCAGGGGCGCCTGGGTGGCTTAGTCGGTTAAGCGTCCGACTTTCGCTTAGGTCATGATCTCGCGGTTCGTGGGTTCGAGCCCCGCGTCGGGCTCTGTGCTGACTGCCAGCTCAGAGCCTGGAGCCTGTTTCAGTCTGTGACTCCCTCTCTCTCTGACCCTCCCCTGCTCATGCTGTCTCTCTCCTAGAAATAAGTAAAACATTAAAAAAAAAAAAAACCTTAATCAAAGTACTCCAGAAAGGGAATGAATAATTATATACAAGAGTTACTGGTTCTTAAGTATGTAAACATGACAGGTCATTTAAATCTAGGGAAACGAGATAGAAAACTTACTTAAATTGGTTTAATACCCTATCACACCAGCTTAGAAAGTTTAGGTAAAAATATTTATCTTAAAAATAATTGTAGGGGACTAAAAGTATACTCTTAAACCTAATTCTACTTACTGCCCTAACCTCTCCCAACACACATAGGAGTGATCAACAGTCTTCTCAAATTACAAATATTGTTTTAAGTGTTTCAAATTTAAGATTATTGGGGGAAGAGGTTGCCACGTAATCATATCAGAATAATTTCAATTCTCTTGAATATGGACATTTTTGTGTTTAAGTTACCATGTAGAGAACATATAATAAATGCACATTAGCACAAGAGACCATAAAGATTTGACTTAAATATTTACATGTCTTCATGTCACAGATGTTATTAGCATTACTAAATCATTTTTTAAAACTTGTATGTTATTAAAAACACTCACCTTCTCCAATTTTCTCTATTTTGGTATAGTCTTCCATAGTTAATCAGTAGATAGGGTAGATTCTAAAATGAGAGGAAAAACTAATTTGATCACATGATCACATGTCACTAACTCAAAAGGTGGTTTTAAGTTTATAATGAGATACAATGTGTAAAGTATTTTCCACAGTCTCTAACACAGTATTTATTTTCTATAAATATTAGTTATGTTAAAACAACACAGGGGCACCTGGGTGGCTCAGTCAGTTAAGTGTCCACCTTTGGCTCAGGTCATATCATGGTGAGTTGAGCCCCAGGGCAGGCTCAGTGCTTGCTGACAGCAAAGAGCCTGCTTGGCATTCTCTCTCCCTCTCTCTCTGCCTCTCCCACACTCATACTCACATGAGTATTCTTGCTCGCAAAAATAAATAAACATAAAAAAAAAAAAAAACTTACAAAGGAAAGGACTTCTGCAATTAAGATTTTCCCACCTTTTTAAGCTCTTAAAATATCGAAGTATTTGTGTATCTTAACCAGTGTATTACTTGCTTCTTCCAAACAAATTAACACTCAAATTCAGACATCAACTTATCTATAAGTCCCAAACAAAAACCAAAAGTATGTTTTCTTTACATAAGACCCCTAAGAAGTACCAGTGTGTGCTACTTATACACCCAAACATTTTCACAAATAATATTTGGCTGAATTTGTATTACTTTATATTTTTTTGAAGATAATTCAAAAAGAACAGTTTTTAAAGACACAAGTAGTGAGATGCCTGGATGGCTCAGTCAGAAGAGCGTGCAATTCTTGATCTTGGGGTTGTGTGCTCCAGTCCCATGTTGGAAAGAGCACATTTCTCTCTCACTCACACTCACACACACACACACTGGGTGCAGAGATTACCGAAAAATCTTAAAACAAAACAAAACAAAAAAAACACCAGTAGGGAGCTAATGTGGTCACACTGCTCACCCATTAGCAAGACTGTTTAAATGTCAGCTAAAATGCTGACAAGGAGACACTCAAGACTTCACAGCTGAGAAGTTTGACAATGAAACCTAACTTCAGAAGCCCAAAGCATAATTATCTTTTCTAACACACTCATCACTGATTAAGATCATATATGTAAAGATCACTGAGTAACTTCTATTTCTCACATTCATCTTCAAAATCATTCCAGAAGTAGAGACAAATCTTTGTAACTGAACAAAAAAATTGCATATTGCTATGAGTGCCAATCTTAAATATTTTTATTTTAATTTTACAAAATGGCAATAATTAGGGTAATTGCCTTTCCCACAATATCCAGATTTAATTAATCTAATGAACAATAAAATTGTTGGGCTCTCTTTGAACAAATAACTAAACATTCAATTTCAGAGTTGGGTTTAATTACCCTCCCTCCATTTTCCTGTTGTAACAATTTAAAATAAAGGATGCAACTTTAAAATGTCTACGGAATGACTCCTGGGGCTCCGTACTATTAGCAGCTCGATGGAAAATACCAATGGCTTTATCTCCTATGCACAGATATCTCCAGGTCTTTAAAGGAAGCGGAACGTGCATATTGCCAACTCTAGTATTAAATAAAAATACTAACACACATTATTTATATCTATATCTCGGCATTTCTTAGCTTTCCATTTTGCATTGTACAGAACAGCCACCAAGCATTAAAAAAAAAAAATACCCTCTGGCTCTATGCCTCAGGCCAAGTGATTTTAAACGCCTCGGGTGCACACGGGCCGTGGGCACCAAGGCAAACCCGAGAAGGCCCACTAGTTAGTTCTTGCGATCCGTGTCCCAGACCAGCCCGGGTTTGGGAACCCGCGTGGGCTTCAGGCCCAAGTGCCGTCTGGACTTCCGCCCCTGGAGGCCAGAGCAGGGCCGAAGACGGAGCCTGGCATTCCGCGTCGTCGAACCAATGCAAGGGTCTGGCTTCAGCCGAGACCCGGAAGCCTCTTCAGCCAGGTCGGCAACTTTTTCCTGGAACAGCCGACCGCGACCCCAGAATGCAACTCCGAGGCCAAGGCAGCCCCCTCCCCAATGTACGTCCGCCAGGTCTGGGCTCCCGTGAGCCTTCCTGGAAAGCCGGCGCCAGGCCCGGACGCCCGAATGAAGGCCCGGCCCGGCCTCCACAGGCCCGGCCCGGCCCCGCGCAGACCCCTGCTGCCCAGCCCGGCCTCCTAATACCGCCCGGTTCCTCAATACTCCTTCTCTGGAGCCTACGAGACGGCCCCCGCCGCGCAGACTCCCCGTAGGCATGACCCCGACCTCAGCAACTCTACCCGGCTTATTATCCCGCGACGAAAGCGGCTGCGGCTACCACGTCGGCGTCGCTCCCGCCTCAACTTCCAAGGGCCAGCTTTGGAGTTAAGTGCGAGCTGTTTCAAACTCACCGCGCTAAAAGGTCCGGAGCTCACCAATCAGATAGCCCGTAGACTTTCAAAGGAGCCAATCGGAGCCCAGCCACGCTTGGGCGGGCCTTCCCGGGTGGCTAAAGCGCGAAAGAAAGTGGAAACGGCGGCCGGAGAAAAAGCAGGAGGGCGGGCGCCAACTGAGTCTGAGCGCAGGCGCTTTCATTCAGAGTGTCGTCCTACTGTTTCTAGTAGTCAGAAATCTACTGTTCACCCTGGGTCCTGTATTTCCTCTTACAGTATTGGCAAAATAAAACGTATCGCACTCAAAGTGATTCTACATTTACATTCAATTTCCATTACTTTCATTTACAATACTTAAAACTAGTGTATATTTATGTTTTTCTAAGTGGGTGATTTTCCAGTTAGGCCAAAAGAGGAGGAGCACATTTCACATACATGTATATTGTATACATGACCGTATATATATGTAGTCTACACATATATATTACTTCACTTTGTAAAATGTTTAATGTTTTATTATTTAAAATTATATTTATTTAAAAATTAAAACCAGGGGCGCCTGGGTGGCTCAGTTAGTTGAGCGTCCGACTTCATCTCAGGTCATGATCTCACTGTAAGTAGGTTGGAGCCCTGCGTCGGGCTCTGCGCTGACAGCTCAGAGCCTGGAGCCTGCTTCGGATTCTCTGTCTGCCTCTCTGCCTGCCTTTCCCCTGCTCATGCTCTGTCTCTCTCTTTCAAACATAAACATTAAAATTTTTTTTAATAAAAAAGTAAATTCACGTCATCATCATCATCATTAAATACACACATATGTACATACATACATACATAATTAAAACAGGGGCGCATGGGTGGCTTAGTCAGTTAAGGGTCTGACTTAGACTTGGTGAGTTCGAGCCTTTCATGGGCTCTCTGCTGTAAGCACAAAGACTGATTTTGGATCCTTTGTCTGCCTCCCTCTCTGCCCCTCCCCCATTTGCTCTCTGTCTCTCTCAAAATAAATAAATAAAACGAAAAAAAGTTAATTAAAAATTTAAAATTAAAAACAAAATTTTACATTTTTAAGTTTTAAAATATTTTCACATCATAATTTTAGTTTTTTAAACACAAAAATTCACAATTCCATGAAAGAAAAAAGAGAAATCTAAGTTATATTTTAAATAATCCAGTATCCAAAACTATCTCTTTCATTGCCCTCCACCATATCCTTAAGAGAGATTTCTGCACCTGAACTTTCTTTAGGTCTTATTAAAGAAAATAAGAGTAAAATAGAACTAGGAATAATAAGAGTTCCTTAGTAAGGATTTCTCTTTGGCCTACCCTTAATGGGATGTAGAACTGTGAACTCTACAAATATGTATTAGAAGATTCAGACTTCGGGGTGCCTGAGTGGCACAGTCACTTGAACGTTAGACTCTTGATTTAAGCTCAGGTCAGGATCTGGGGGTATGTGAATTCAACCACCAGGTAGGGCTCTGCACTGGCAATGAAGAGCCTGCTTGAAATTCTGTTTCCCCCTCTCTCTCTCTCTGCCCTGCATGTACACCTTCTCTTTCAAAATAAATAAATAAACTTTAAAAAAAAAAAACATAAAACCCAGATTAGATGCTCTTATAGGCAGCACATACACTAAAATTGGAATGACACAGAGAAGATTAGCCTGGCCCCTGGGCAAAGATGACACATTCCATATTTTAAAAAGAAGAAGCAGCAGTCCCAGATTAGGGTAAAGAATAGAGGTTGTACATCACATGCATTTAAGTGTTTAGTACCTTTTCACACAGTGAGCAGCACCTGTCATCTGACACTATTTGTGGTACAAATGTACAGCCTTGAAAATTTTGTGCTCCTAGGTGACGGAGTCAGAGCATGGTATTCACAGTGGAGGTAGGGGATTGTGAAATCTCTGCCTGAACCTAAGAACTTTTAAAACTTATTTTAAAAATCTTAAATTCACATTTTAAATGAAGACTGACTACCCCAGAGAAGGCTCTAGGGAAGAAGACTGTTCTCTGCCAGTTCATGGTACTGATTTTAATGAGTGCATGTATATATATTTCTCTCTGGGAAGCCTCAGCAAGGCATTCATTTTATAGCATCTAAAAACAGCTGGTAATTCATTATAGCCATTTTACATTCAGCATAAAGAAGACCACAAGCTTCTACAGCTGTGATGCTAGATTTTTCAATTTAACTCGATTATCTTTGTTTTTAAAACTTCAGGGGGTATTGTAAATTCATGCTATCATTGCGGCAAATACAGTTTATTAATTATTTTGGCCAACTTATATTCAGTGTCTCTAAAGGTCTTTCCAGACACAAAATTAATCAATACAATTCCTGCTCTAGGTGGTGAAAGCAGAAGAACACATGATTACTTAGAACTGTATTCTGGCATTTATGTTGTAATTTATGCTATAAAGTGAAATGAGAACATAAAGTGGGAGATTACGAATTTGAACAGAGGAAGGGACATTTATTGGAGAAAGAATTGTGGGGCAGGGCTTCCAAGCAGAGGAAATTCCTTGAGGAAAGCACTGAAAGTCAGCCCAGGTAATTCAGTGCTGCCATTGTAGGATGGAGGGGGTCTGCAGGTGTTAATCAGGGAAGGGAGTTTGGAATCAGAATCCTGAAGAGCCTGAACACTGTTGTAAGAGGCTACACAGGAGAGGAACACAACTATTTCAGAACCATTTTTGGGGGGCACCTGGGTGGCTCAGTCGGTTAAGCGTCCAACTTCGGCCCAGGTCATGATCTCACGGTTTGTGGGTTTGAGCCCCATGTCGGGCTCTGTGCTGACAGCTAGCTCAGAGCCTGGAGCCTGTTTTAGATTCTGTGTCTCCCTCTTTCTCTGGCCCTCCCATGCTCATACTGCCTCTCTCTCTCTCTCTCAGAAGTAAATAAGACATTAAAAAAAAAAAGAATCATTTTTGACATGCTATGAAAAAAGAACAGAAGAGGATAGGATGAAAAGGCATGTGATCCAAAAAATTTCATATTTATATTTTGGTAAACTCCAAAAATTTTTTATAGGAAAAAAAATCTGTTGGCACTACATATGTGTATTTTGTTTTATTTTTAGAAGTAAATATTACTGTGGACTGAATTCTCTCTCTGTCTACCCCAAATTCATATATTGAAGCCCCACCCCTCAATGCAATAGTATTTAGAGATGGGGCCTTTGGGAAGTAAATGAGATCATGAGAGTCAAACCCTCCCTATGGGATTAGTGCTCTCGTAAGAAGAGAAAACAGAGAGCTGGGTCACTCTGTCTCTCCCTTGCATAGACACAGCAAGAAGGTCCCATCACCAGAACCTACCAAGCGGACACCTTGATCTCACACTTCCAGCCTCCAGAACTGTGAGTCACCCAGGTTATGGTATTTGGTGATGACATCCTAAGCTGACTAAAACAAGTATTTTTTCAGATAAAATGGTTAAGAAACATTTGCTTATAAATACACAAAGTACCCTGGAGGGAAATGGAAGAAACTAAAACTCTGTGCCTAGAAGAGAAGGAGTGCCTGGGGCACAGAGTTGGGATGGCAGACTTTTTTGTCTTTTGAAGTTTGAACCATGTGAGTGTATTATCTAGTTCAAAAATGAATGGGTGGGTGTTTGGGTAGATAAATGGATGAATGGATGGATGAATAAAGGAGGCCAAGGCCTCTTTTAGCTATTGGATAAAATTCATAGAAGTTGCTGGAAAACATACCCAGAAGGAGAAGACTGATCTCCCTTTACATAATTCAGAAAATAAAATGGTAGAAAAAGTAAGACATACGGTTTCAAGATCCTTTAATCACAGCTGAAGGCATGGAACTGTCATGGATATTCTTGAGTTAGGCATTTTTTTAAATTATAAAAAGTATGTGATTTTTTTGTAAGAAATTCAAACAATTCCATAATAAGAGTTTGTCATATATAATCTTCATGTTCCCACCCTCATTCCTCCAACAAAAGAGACAGGGATCATGGTAAAGATGTTGGTATCCATACTTTAAATCCACATGTGTCAACCAATCTCAATCTGTCATTGGAAATTCATGGAGTGGGCATGGGGTGGGGAGGAGAAATGTATTAATCAACCATTGAGGATCAAAGACAACACGTGAATAGTGTGTCTTCCCAAACAGGTGGGGAGCAAATGCTTACAGTGTGATTGGTAAAGGCTGCTCTGTGCAGAGCATGGTAGTTACTATGCTCTGGAGTAGTTGTGAGTATGGTGGAGGGCAGAGGGGTCAGGCAAGGCCTCACCACAGAGGTGGTTTCTAAATTGAGTCTTAAGGAAAGGTTTGCCAAGCAGAAACATGCATGAGAAGAAATTTCTGGTCCATTGAAAAGAAAACAAACAAACAAACAAAGACATGTTTGGTGGATTGAAATTAATTCAGTATTTCTGAAACATAAATGGAGTTTAAGGGATTGGAGAAAGAGTCAGAAAAGTGATGCTATGGAGTCAAGCAATATCCTTACCTGGAAGGACCTTTCAGTGTCCTGCTAAAGGATTCAGATGGAGGATGGAATTGAAAAAAAATTTTTTGAGTAGGGAGTGACATAGTCAGAATGAAGAATGTGGGATTAGAAGGAAAAGTCACTTAAGAGGAGACCTGAGGAGCGATGATGAGATAGCATCAGAACCAGGAGACCAGTGGAATGCTCTGCATCTATCCGAACAGGTGCTGAAACCAGGGAAGTGGTGGTCAGTTTGAAGAGGAGGAAATAATGATGAGATATTTTGAGGAGCTAGGACAGTAAGGCCTGAGGGATGGACTGGGTGTGTTGACCAAGGGAGAGAAGATCATCAATGATGACCAGGGTATATGCTTGACAATGAGCTGATGCCACTATCTTTCTGGAGAGGGGTAGAGGGGCACTTATGGTGGGGTAAGTGCCCATTTGGGCATGTTGATTGTCGGGTACCAATATGGGATCCACGTGGCTTCAGTATCCAAAGGCAGATCCAAGTTCCATGAGGCCTGAA